CCCACCAACCTTATGTGTTATACAGTCCAGAAAGGGTAATGTGCCCGATGTGGACTCTATCTCCATGCTAAACTTAATGTGTGGGTTTAAACTATTGAGATAGTCGTGGAAGCTGTTTACGTTGTCTCGTTTGATTACAACAAACGTGTCGTCAACATAACGCCAAAAAACTTTGGGTGGACAATGATATCCGGCCAAAGCTATTTGTTCGAAGTCCTCCATGTAAATATTGGCTAAAACTGGGGATATTGGAGATCCCATTGCAAGGCCTTGTTCTTGTGAGTAAACAGTTGTGTCAAAAACAAACTTATCAAGATTCAAACACACTCTTATGCCCTCAACTATTTCATCCACCGAGAGCTGTGTCCGTTCCCCGAGTGTCGTGTCTGCCAGTAACAACCTCTTAGTTACCTCCAGAGCATCTGCCCTAGGGATGTTTGTGTACATTGATATTACGTCAAAACTCACGAGGACTTCGTCCATCTCCAAAGGAAGCCCTGCGACCTTGTTGGCAAAGTCATACGAATTCCTAATGAAGGTGCTTGATTTCCCCGTGAGCGGTTTTAGTATACTAGCTAAGAATCTGGCCAGTTCATGCGGCGGCGCGCCTATACCATCCACTATTGGCCTTATCGGTACATCTGCCTTGTGGATTTTTGGCAGTCCGTAGAGTCGCGGTTGAATCGCACTTTTTGGATACAACCGATACCACTTACATTGCCCCAAATGGTTTATTACGCATCTTAAATATCTCCCAACTTCAACCTTACTCTTATTCATTATTGAAGTAATACTGCTACCGGTAGTTTGTCGGTAGGGTCCATCGGCGAGGTGTTGCCTGACCTTTTGAAGATAGTCGCTCTTATTCATCACTACTGTGGCTTTACCCTTATCGGCCTTGGTAATGACAATACTATCTACCTGTCTCAGTGTGTTCAACGCTCTCCGCTCTGATGGTGCAATATTTGGAGCTCCCGGCTGTTGGGATTTCAGGACTGTGACCGGTTGTATCCGTAGCTTCTCAGCTTCCGCTGAAGGAAGCTTTTGAAACACTGACTCTACACTAGGAATTATCTCCTCCGCTGTTATTACTTTTTTGCTCACAGCGAAGTTTAGCCCCTTTTCTAACAGACAGCGTTCGTCTTCACTCAGTGGTCTATCTGACAAATTAACTACACTACAGTAATTGGTGGATGGTTTCTTTGTTTCTATGACTTTTTTGGGGCCCTGAGTCATGGAAAGCAGTTGTTCGAACTTAGGGATCTGCCTATCCTTGCATTGCCGGCCCTGTGCAAGCTTCACTTCTGTGGCTTTGGTGTTGAGCATCTGGAAGTCGGTGGTTGAGATTGCGGTCTGAAGAGTTTGGCTGAGTTGACTGGCGTGGCGGCGTACATCGGTTAAACGCTGGGTGGTTAGGTAGATTCTCTGCTTGAGGAATGACTTGGCCGCTGACAAAGCAATTTTAGCAGAAGCAGCTGACGTATCCGGTGGTTTCACAATCAGGGAGTTGGGAATGATGTTGTGCTTTAAGCAACTAAGGTTGAATACGCGATGGTTCTCCCATTTTGCCTCCAGTCCAGTCAATCGAACGTACTCGCCTGACATTTTTCCAACATCCAAAGTTGTCTTATCATGTTATTCCTCAAGCATCTCTTTTCTGCACTAACGTTCCCCAATAATCCCAAGCAAGAACATGACTACACAAAACTTTTGGACTCCTCTCACCGAGTTGAGCTAATTCCGTCGGATCAAGTCCATGCAGAATGGCACTTGAGTCAGCCCACAGGGAACAAGAACGACTTTCAGATCGAAACGCCCCACTGAAATGTCGGAAGAGTTGGCGAGATGCTGAAAATGATGAGTTTTCCTATCGACATTCGACAAATAAGAATCCAAAATTATGTTGTTCCCGGTTCCACGATACTTGCTGACGATGATGATGTGCTTCTGTTTTTTTTTGTGGTAAAAATTTGCTGTCTTTTCGGATGGAATCCGAAGCTTAGGCTCACCAAACTAGTTTATGCCGACAAGCATTTGCACCATAAGGAAGTCAAAACTTTCAGTGTTTTCTCTTGTATTTGTTGTGATGACTGTCTCTTCAAGTATTTCATCACCTCGTCACATTCACCTGTCCTGCCCTGAAACCACTGGCTTTATTTAGCTCATTTGTAATAATCCATCCATAGTTGCTTTAGCACTCGGCTCTAAATGTCCCACCTTACGACTCTGTCCCTACACATTATGTACACTAATAGTGCAGTACCGATCCGAAACCAGGTGAATTAGCTGACAACCAAATTTCACAGTACAAAGGGAAAGCACGCAGGTCACGTGACATAGCAGCCGATCCAGTTTCCAACCCGTTTATGTTGTGATCACACACAGAACGGGTGTGCGACGTTGCGAAAATTTGTTCTGATGTCAAAAGCCCGTGGTTTCAATGACGAAGATGCTGAAGAGTCGGGCTCCTAAAAGCCATGAGACAGAATGTGTTCACTAGATAGAGTGAATATGGTTTTCCCGAAGACATTGCCCACCTCACAATATTTAACCAGCTGGATACTCAAAATGCTTGAAATGGCCCTTCCCAGGCAAATAAGACACCTAAAGCGAAAACGCCAGTCACATTGCCATACGGAAACAGTAGAAGCTTTTCGTTACATCGTCTTTATATATACCACATATATATATGCTAAGAATGAGTAGGTGAAAAAGTGCAGAAGAAATTTACAAGATTTGAGAAACCTTACATTGGACCTAAAATCAACAGGTAACTGGAAACTAGTAATTTAATTCTATGCACACACAGAAGTAGGTATATAAGGTAGTAAGTAAGGTAGATAAGGAAGTATGTAAGGTTAAAGCGTTTGAAAATCCACAGCAGGTCGCGGATAACGCAGCTCACTCGGTAATATGTCCTTTCCCACCAAATATTGTTTTATACTTCAAGACCAACGGAAAAAATATATTCAACCCTAAAAAACATGCCTGAAGACAGTAAACACGAAAAGTGACCAGTTTTGGCCGCCTTTTTGAAGTGGGTTTGCACAGCTTGAAGCCGACTCCCAATAGACTTCTTTGTCGTTCACGCCAGACGGTCATTTAATCACACAATAGTCCTCACAGATTAAGCGGAATTAGTTATTATCTTATCCACTTTTTATGCATATGTCGGATTTTTGTATGCCCATCCAAACTATTTACTAAAGTTGTCAGTCGTCCTCAGACACTATGTATTCCGAAGTTTCTTTCCATTAGCAGGCAGTAAGGTTAGGCGGAATTCTATATCTTTGAAAAATTTTGCTTTCCCGCAGATACCACCACAAAAAAACAGGCTGTGATTGGTGTATGTTTGGAGAAATAAACAAATTTTATCAGCTTTAAAAAACAGCTCGGAGTGAGCAACACAGTGGTGTAGTGGGAAGACTCCCCTTCAAATCAATGATCACTAATAGGTCGGCCTAATGATGTTGGCCGAAGAGTATTTGCATCCTGATATGTGTTTCGGAGCTCTGACCATCCAACCGTTTTCTTTTTAGTTCAGTCATGAAAAGGTATCTGGTAACTTCCCTAAATGGGTGTTTTGTTGGACTTCAGAAAAAGATGCCCGTGTTTGGAACCTACTTGTGAAAACAACTGAACATGGGATCATTCGGACTGCCAAAAGTGCAACACACCTGATACTTTCCTCGTTTTTAACGCACGTGAAGTTCAAAGGCTTCTGAAGATAGGCACATTCCTCGTCCAGTTTACCAGTGCAGCCAGTCTCAGACAGGGTACCCCTCCTCGAGGAAGGAGGTACTTCAACAGTGAAATACACCGATAAAAAACTCATCGCCTGCTGGAAGAAAGCATCTCGTTGAGGAGTTGGGAGCTGATTGACCCAACCAAGGAGATACAGAACGACTTTTGAGCACAGCCTGTAGCTTGGTCTGTTCAGGTTCAAGTTGGACTGCGGGCATGAGAGCATGGAACTGATCTTCTCTTCAAGTGAAGGTACAGTGATTAAACAATGATCAATCTGGAAGGCTAAGATGAGTAACCTCCAAACTGGTATAACCAGTTCGGCACTGATAGCAAGCAAGGGTGGAGAATCACTTGGAGATAAAACTTCGACACGCAGTGCACAGTGCGCGTCTTCAAGTGGCCATTTTGGCCATGCCATGATCCACAAAATGCAGATTTTATCTTGTTTTGGTGCTTCTTGGTTCATCTTTTCCATGGAAACATGAAGTTTGGAGGTAAATATTACGAACCTCCGTTGACTGATATATCTAGACTGGGCGACAACTGTAGTCAACTGGTGCGAAATTTACTACACTGCTTATCCTTTGGGATAGCTTCTACTCGGTTTGGTCTACATATGGAGATTCTAGTGCACCATAGTTTTACTTTTGGCTGTCTAATCTCCGGCCCCTATGCGGATCGCTGTTGGTAGCGTTTCAGCACCCAGACTGGCGGCGTCCAAACTTCTTGTTTTATTAGACTTTGGCAACTCCAAAATAGTACGTGCTTGGTACTCTGCCTTAAAACGTGCCACCATGTATACCTGTATCACCTTGCACATGCACCGAAACTGATAATCATTGTGCGTCTATAGTCCCTCAAAAGGATTACCGGAATGTGTTCATTCACACGTCTATATGTTTGTTCCGTTGCTCGGCCGAGAAGACAGTGGTACGCGCAATTTAAGTTGGTTTTGTTGGCTGAATAAAGCAGAGGTGTGTCAAGTGAGCCTGCATTGTCAGACAGAGACTTTAAACAACTTTCATAAACGTCACATGGAGAGCAAGAAAGTTTCTAACGGCATACGGGTCAATGATTAGTTGGTGACCCCGCATTTTTTCACAACACTGTTCTCCCAGCGGTTGAGCACCCCGAACAACTTGAACAGTAATAAATGAAACAAGTCATAAGATCACCAGATAATGTCTATTGATAAAAAAATAATACAGTTCACTAAATATTAAAAAAAACATAAACGTTACTTTTTGATGAAGCTTGCCAGAAGTAATCGTCCAATCACAGTAGCGCTTGAAAACGTGAACATAGTAGTAGAAAAACAATGACATTCCCGAAAACTATGGAATGCTTGGCAGGCTATAATGTATGCATAGTCGAACACAGCCGGTGAGTCGGTGAGAAGGTGAGAACTCTGAGGTGCATGGGTACAGTAGTCCTTCAGATGTGCTCAAACAGTTGTTTTTTTAATGAACTGCGGACAAAATTTCTGTAAAAAAAATAAAGGGGACGTCATCGTTTCCGATTACAGAACAATGAAAGAGTATGTGCGATTTTATATCAAATACCGATTTCTAATTTAAACGCTGCTGCTTATATGGGATAGACCACAAAAAGTTACCGTGCAATATTCCGTATATATATATTGACTTAAGCCCTCAATTTGAAGCCCATTGTCAACCAAGATTGTTGTGATAACCGAGCAGACGAATCAGATGATGAACAGATGAGCAGTGGATCCAACTACGGACCGAAACCACGTAACCGTGTTAAATTGTTGTTATACCTTTTGCGGCATGAAACAGTTGGAGCAGAATTCACACTTTGCCCTCAAATCGATGGAGTCGCCATGAGTTCTCCTCTTGGCTCATGGAGCTTGGTCGATTGAATGGGGAGATTAGACGTACGCACTTTTACCGAAGGTACGTAGATGATATTTTTGTGGTACTATCAAATGGTTCCGAAATGGATGCTCTCCTGACCAACTTCAGTCAAGCACATCCTTCTATTCAGTTCACTTTTGAAACTGAAAGTAACAACGCTTTCCACTTCCTGGACGTTAAGTTAGTCAGACTTTCCACGGGACGTGTTCAAAGGTCTGTCTACAGGAAGCCCACGTGGATGGGACAGTACACTGAAGCGAAAACGAACCCTGATCCAAACTTTAACGAACCGAACAAAACGTATTTGCTCGGCTGATACACAGGATTCTGAACTGCAACACATTGCTGACGTGCTGTGAGCCAATGGTTACCCGGAGAGATCTATAACTAAGGATTTATCCGATCGCCCTATCCAAAGAAGCCATTATATACTTGAGTTCACCGTATAAAGGAGATCTGTTGGCGGACAGTCAATCGCCGCTTGTTTCAATCCCTAAAGCGCACGTTTCCACTTTCCTAACTCCAAGTCTTGCCAATCCGTTCTGATTTGCGGAAAACTAATTTCATTCCACTGAAATGACTTTCTCTCGGGCAGTACGAAAGTCAACAAAGACAAACCAGCCTAGTCGAGCTTCGTGGATTTCAAAACTGATATTCATGCACAGCACAATAAAATTCTGATGCTGCTTACAAAATTGGTACAGGTATTTGTGAAAAAATCGAAAGAATTTAATGCTCCTTTTTTTCAGAAAATCCATCCTTGACCAGCCATTCGGTATCACACTCTTCCACGTCATGGCCAGCTTTAACAGTATTGCAGGCCGTTCTTGTTGCTACAGCTGAATGCTACAGTTCTTCTACGCTGAATCATAAACGCAAGGTTGTACAACGAACCACGGTGTAAACAATATTTTGTTCATGCTGGTAAAGGATCAACAACTTGCACCGCCATTTCTGGTATGCAGCATGGACTGAAATAGGTTCGCACGAGTAAATACTTGCTGGGAGTCTTGGGCAATTATATATATATATATGTGTACATCAATGTCCCGATTGATCTTGCATTACAAACGAGAGAAAATGTAATTGAATACGGTCTGTTTCATTGTATTCCAGCTGGATTAAGGTCGCTACTCTCGCGAAAACAACCGACTGTGGAAGATTTGAGTCTGAAAATGTGGGTTTTCTGCTCTGAATGCTCCAGCAATACTTCGTGAATAAATAAGTCCTAAATAAAAGGTGAAATCTGTTTAAGAGTCAACCAATCAGAACGCCCAAGTAGGTAGAAAATGTCGCTGCACCCGACACCGCGTAGTCCCACTTTCCAATCTAATATGTTCTTAAGTACACAGAATACTGACGTGCAGACAGATGTCAAAAGAGGGCCGGAAGGGAAGGCAACTATCTGATCTACTGCATGCACCGACCCACACTTAGACTCCAAATTGATACACCACAGCTCTCGCGAAGAACCAATAGTCATCGTCTCTCAGCGTCATTCGTGAGTTATTTGTGAGGCTTTTTAATCAGTCATTCTGCTCTGGTGTAGCCATCCCTGTCGGTCCACCGTAGCGGGCAACTGTTACCACGGCTCATCAGTAGCGCATGCTCATGGCCGCCTCTGGATTCGAACCCAGGACATTCCACTTGTTACATGAGGTGACATCAGACGAGTCGGAACAGGCGAACTTTTTCGCGCTCGGCGATGTGTTTAGTTTGCCCAGAGGCTCGAAGGATGACTCAATAAATGTACTGGTTTTGTCGATCGATTTCAACACCTGTTCGGATTTTCCAGTTTGTAAGTACTACGATCGAAGCAAGGTGCATACTTTTCTCAGCTAGCTTTGCGTGGTTATGGAATTTGGAAAATATACCTTCATATCACTGGTTTAAAAACTATTACTCCCATCCTGCCATAACTGTTACACACCGAAATAGAGGGAGAAGTGGATTCGGGATTGGCTGTCATCTTAGCCCATCAGTAGTATATATCCTTGGACAGACCGGGATTTGTACGTCTGGCGTTTGACTGCACCGACTAGAGTTGTTGCACCAATGCAGCAGGAGGACTGCTCAAATGAGATGACGTGCATGGGACATGCAATTCTCGCGGTTTTCATTCCGCCGGACTTCATTGTTGCCCAGAGACGCCGATAGTAAGATTCTTAATCAAAAAGGCAATAGGGATTTATACTGTTGTAAATGTGAACCCCAATCCACGTTACGTAAACTAGAGCGGGGCTCAGTTAGGTACATTGTTGCTTGCGGACTTACTCTTCAGATAACTGAGTTACTCTGGTCTCTGGTCCGGATTGAGGTATGAACGCGAACTTCAAAATAAAACCCGAAATACCGTGTAAACGGGTTGTAAAATGTAAGAACCTAGAATTCACAACCAATGAACAACGGTGACCAAATGTAAGGATTTAAACCTAAATTGTCTCTTGCTGTAAGAAGGCCTGCTCGAAGTACTTAAGCAGAAAACTTACAGTCAAAAACAGAACAATTGGTAAACGCGTCAAGGACGTACCTGATGAGGTCAGGAATTTCGGGAGCTGTATGTATAAAATTGTGACGGTATCCTCTTTCAGCCGCAAATGGTACGAATGTCACGTCAGTGGTAGATTCCAAGCTCTTTGCCAACTGATTGGTGGAAGACAAGAGAGAAATAATTAGTCAAAATGAGCAGCCAAGGACAATATACACAAAAGGTGGTGTGGAAGCATTCAAGATACTGGGTGTCTCATTGTGCAAGATAAGTAGTGAAGCCCTATCTCTGTTGTAGCCATCGAAATGAAACCCTCAGGCAACATTAAATGTCTGTCAGTTTTTGTGACGCTTCGGGTTCGACAGAGAAAACGTCAGCAGTTCCATCCAAGTTCGTACTTTGTCCTCAAAGAAAGTACGTTTCTAAGGCAGAATTGTCTTAGAAAATAGCTCGGTTATATATTGAGTTCATTGCCATTGTCTTACAACCACCACCATCACTCGAAAGAGCTCATGACATATCTCATCTTCCCAAAAGAAAAGCGGATTGGAAAACACCATTTTGAGTGCATACTGGTTTGCATACCAATTTGGTTCCCGCGACAGACTTAACTGAAACCCAGCTAAACCTCTCGTTTACGATAACCATTAACTGAAAACGATGCACAAAAGCAGCCTCATATTTTATTTAGTACGATAGTTAAGATGCGAAAATAAAATGCGATATCTCAAATATCGTAACAACTGAAACAAGAGGCAGTTTGGTGCAACACGTTGAGCTGCATAAAAACGTCATACACGAGGGATTCAGCTGGATTCTAGGTGAGTCTGTCATCAAAAGCAAATTGGTATTCAAATGAGCATTTCGCTAATTTCCTGTAATTTGGGTTTAAGTAGAACGTGAGGTTAACGGAAACTTGAGTACTGGAACTAACTGATGAGCCCCAGGAATGGCAAAATTGATCGTGGTCTATCGAAGTGTTTTCAGAAACCTTACGAGTAGTGTAGTATGTCTATATAAGGGGTTACGTGACTAAGGTACCGACATCTCTGTCATCATCGGTAAACCTTCCAAGCATTTTTTCTACGGTTGGCTGAGCACTTCTGTGACCTTACTCGCGACTACTTGATGAAGGCGAAACCGGTTGCGGGTTGTCGAAGAGCTTCCGGCAACCTTATGAGTGGTCTCCTTCATGCAAATCCACATACCCAAAAGAATCCAGGAAAAACAACTAAAGCTTGAGGAATTAGATAGAACAACCAGGTGTTCATTTGTGCTACCACTAGATGAAGACTGTCTTCGATACTCGCCCCGTGGTCAACACAGAGTCCACATGTGACCTAGAAAAGCTCACTATTCAAGGCGTATAAAAGCGACGCCAACCGCTTATGCATGAGTGTGATTTACAAATGAGCATTTTCCATCTGCTTCGTTTGCCACTGATAAGCCCACCCTTTCTGGGACATTCTGGCACTTTATCCACCCGCCTCATTATTCCACTTCCGGAGATGGAGTCCTTCGTCTGCTCCGGCCCAATAACTCCGATCTTCAATGTTTCCCTTCTAATTACAGTCAACGTTAGTCGAGAGCTCTGAGCGGTTTTGCAACGGTGTGATAACCGCAATGCCACTGTCAGCCGACATTCAATGGATGATGGAACATGTTTGTCTGTTGGGCCCAAATTTTTTTTACCAATCAGAGCTCGCCTGTAGGCTAGAGCAGCAAGCGGCCAGATCTTCTGATCTGTCATGTGCGACTTAAAATGAGTACAAAGCGTTGCGGGAATGCCTATGGCGAACGTTTTTAAACGTGAGTTTCTGTAAGATCACCCTTGGGAGCTACACGCCTGAGGCTGTGAATAAGAGTAATCGGCTTTCTGAATAAATTCAGCCTGTCTTTCCAGTCTAATCCCATGAGATAAAGTCATATGATGGAATCATGACATCAGGTGGCAGGTGACTCGCGCCATCGACCGATTGACCAGCCTCGCCAGTCAATTTCAGCTTAACTCCAGAGGTATTGAGGATCTAGTATTCAGCCGACTTCACCCGAGGTTTGCCAATTCGTTTCTACGAGCAGTGTGGTGTCGGGGAGAACTGGAGCTTTGGTGATACACCGTCACAAGCTTCCTTCAGTAAGAGAAATCAACTTTGCAGTGTGACGTCGGGGCGAACTGGAGCTTTGGTGATACACTGTCACGAGCTTCCTTCAGTAAGAGAAATCAACTTTGTATATCACTGTCAACGACAGTGTTCTGACCGTTTTGTGAAAGGTGAAGTTGTGGGACAGCTTGAGGAGAACGTAGTATGAGTACCGTTCACGCTCCGGTATGCCGAGTTTCTACAGCATTAAATTGATATTCCGTCCGTTAACGAACATTGATAAGTCAGTTTTCCACAAAAGCGTCATACAGTACCCATAAGGCTGCTGAAAACCGTTCGAAAACCTTATGACAATGTATTTAAGTACTGGCATATCGTACCAGCTGAAACATGAAGCGGCCCAGTACTGGCATATCGTACCAGCTGAATCATGCAGCGGCCTGGTGCGGCACATTCTGTTGAAGAACATCATAAATGAGAGATTCAGCTGGGATTCTGTTGACTTCGGTTGCAAATGAGTGAATTTCTACAGTTTCACCATGTTGCCATACCCCTTGAACCAGGAGTCAAAAAAGAGGTTAAATGGGAATTCCATGATTGAGGTCGCAGGTGCACCAGCTAAAGAAACAAAAGGCTCACTGGTACTATCAGCTGGTGTCTGAGTCAGTGTTTCGATAAGCTTCAGTTGTGTTTCCTCAAACTGTTTCTGTTACAGTGATTTGGCAGGTATCGCGGATTCCCGTTCTCAAGATGTGATAAAGGTGATGCCTTAGCTTATTTCTCAATCTGATGCTCCAAAGCTAGCGTCCCAGGGGCAGCAAACATAGAAGACTTAAAGTACGTGTAGCGACATCTAACGTTCCTGTGTTGCACGCAAAACGCTTATCATCATATAAAACGCAATAGAATTTCAAAATCAGATGATCTCGCTCCTTCCTGTAAGTCACCGAAAAATCCTGTATTATTCAAGCCGGATGATGTAGAAACACCCGGATATTTGTGGATTACTGAACTGTGATGGTATGCGTGATGACGTTATGTGCTGTCACTGCACTCTCATCCATGTCTACTCGCATTAAAACCACCCGAAAAATTGCTGCCTTTAGTTCACAGTCCTAATGATCCAAATCGTTGATTTTCGTCAGTTGCTAGCTGCGGTACGAAACCAGGTGGTAGAAATACAGGTCTATAGGATGCAACAAGCCAAAAATCGTGTGTCGGGTGAGGGAATCGGCAAGTTGCTTCAAGAAAACCAAGATTATTCGTACTGATTACTGCGATGTCGAATTCCGTTCGACACGATGCAGAGTTTCCGTGGACACTTGGGCTAGTGAACACATACGGTCATTCAACATGGTCTGTGTGGAAGGTAGCAGATAAGGATATAAGCGACTCACGTAATCATTCTAAATAACTGCCTTATCTTATCAGGAAGCAGGTGATTCCGAATTTCTATGGTTGTAGTGCGGTCGAAAAACCCAAAAAGACCACGTAAATTGCCAGCACATTGTCTCGCAATTTGCTGGCTGCGGGTGTCATTTTCTGCCCTTTCCGCACAGTCATGGATAAATGGTTCAAAAAACTCAACATTGATTCGGATAAAGCCTCCATTTTGCACTGGGAAAGTGTGTACTTGTAAGCTAGTGAGGTAAATGAGATGGGTTTTACCGACTTATCTACCTTCTGCCAGAATTCACCAGAAACGACAGGCACTACCAAGGGACCGAACCGCTCAATTTCCATTGGGTTTTGAACGAGTCGAGAAAGGTTAATGCTATCATACCAAACACCAAAAGGAAGCAAACGTCTATTTGCGTTAAATCACGCATCCTTGAGGCCTTCATTATGGAGGAAAGGAATAAAGGAATGATACCAATGCGTCGCTGTTAAACGAGAAAAATTGGTAGGTACTGATGCACACCCTCGACATCTATAGAATGAAGAGTTTTCCTGCTATTCAACCCTATACAGATGTGACAAAGGAAAATGGTAGGAATATCCTTACACTTGTGACATCAGTACTCATACATAAAACAGGACTTCACAAACAATAGCTTGGGTACTACACTGGACACTTGTGACATCAGTACTCATACATACAACAGGACTTCACAAACAATAGCTTGGGTAGTAGGAACCAGGGATGTGGTTCAAAAACAAGTCAGTTCAGTTGTAATAGTAACACCAAACCGATCAGGAGGGCTGTAGAGAACATCGCTTAAGCGTAAACACATTCTCCAGTGGAGACCTGATGAATCAGGTGTGTCTCGCGTACGCTGGGGGAGTAGCGATAACATATTCGTCTCAAATTTCAGATATCCGGGGTTCAAATCCCGGAGAGGCCAAGGACATGCAGTGCTTCCGATCTTTGGTATGAACGCAAGTGACTGATTGCATCAGGACAAGAAGTGCTGTTCAAATAAGAGTTACGTGAATACGAATTCTACAAACCTGAACCACCTTTCAGTCAGACAGAGACACGGATTATGAGGAGTGGAGCGAATCTGGTCACATGATTCGTGACTTTGTGAGCAGTGGACCGAAATTCCCTCCTAACCGATCACCACCGATTCCAGTCCAGACCGGCTGTCCGCCTCCCCCACAGGGAGATTTACAACAGAAATACGTAAACAAGGGATACACAAAACGGTCAGCGATGAGTGTGAGAACCAACCAGTTAACCGCTTGTCATATAAGTCGCCACCTGAAGTTCGTAACGAATAGAACAATGGAATAGGAACACCAGCCTGAGATGAGACAAAGTAAGCTGCTTTGAATACACAACAGCAACCTTGTGTTCAGACTGGCCGCTGTCGAAAAAGCATCGACCTGCCCACCCTTCGACGCTAATTCATTTAGACACATATACACATCAGTGGCTGCAAACAGCACCAACGCCTCCCACGAACCAACCACTGCGTACTGTAACAAATATGTATAGGTATCCAGTGGTTCAAAATCTAGCTATTTATGTTTTGGTTGCCAGTTAATCATGTAAAAATCGTTCAACTGTAGCACCATTTCTGTTGCTAACTACCATGCAACCCGAAGGAAGTGAATCATTATACAAATTATATTGGTAGACGTAAATATTGTTCCTCGAAAGCAATCGAACTTATCCCAGGAGGAACAAAAACCGGGCTTATCCGATTCGCCGATTTGTGCAACATAGATAATTCGTGTGCCTGTGAATCGATCGTTATGCGTCGCTGCTTATAACTTCATCGATTACAAAACTATGTTGGGGGCAGTTTGGCTCATGTCGAGAACCAGTTTGCATCGGCTCAAATGGAATAGGTCAAATATCGATCAGCGTTTCAGAGGAACTGGAATTGCAGAACACTGAGCAAACAGTGACCAATTTGACGAAAATGTGAAGCGTAGAACCTCTAAAAGTCATACACGCGTGAGCGGATTCGAGTGAGCCAATAAATTAATACGGTGTTCCCTGCAATTTACGCTCCCAGAACAGAAACATCTTCACACAAAAAACCATTTTTTCGGATTCTGATAACTTTGCCACTACATTGACTAGCAAAACACCTACAAATCCCGAAAAGCGACACAGATAATTCTCAAATGGAACAATCCTTTCCCAGAAATCAGAAAAGGCAAACAATTTTTGGGATGACAGCTGATTTCTCTTCAGCCAAGATGTTCAAACGTTCAGTCAGCTCGATTATCTCTCTCTCTCTCAAGCCTTCCTGATCAAACATCCTGATGACTGCGCCAAAGACAAAGAACTGGTCCCATGTTGTCTTTAAGTGGCCTAATGTTGGCCACAACCAACCATAAGCTGAATGAGATCAAATCGTTAGATAGCGTTTTATTAGCTCACTGCTTTCCGAGCATAAGGATGGTGACGAGTGTTTAACAAATATCAGATTTTTCCACCTGAGGGGCACGGCTACGTTACAATCGATCTCCATACACTGACAGGACTATATCGGTCTCAGTAGCTACCCGAAGCACAATGCGTACACAATGGAACAGTGGTCAGAGTCAAACAACGGCAGAGGGTCAACAGCCACCAGATTTCTGAAACAGAATATCCTGGATACCTGGCGCTAAATGTCACTGGTATGTGCAGTGGAGCAAACCGGTACAACACACGCAGCTCGGTGAGCGCGCCAATACACCCATAACAGAAATAGCTAGGTAGTAGATCTAAATGACCTGGTCAGTACCCAGTTACACTACGGTTCTTGGTCACTCCTGTCGGTTTCAACCAGTTCAGCTTGTCCCAAACCTGTACAATTAACGAACGAGTAGGGTCTGATGCTAGGATAGGCTCCATCTCATACACATTTCTATCCCACGGAATAGAAAGCCGGATAACGCTAGCTAGCCACGAAATAACAAAAAAATCATCGGCCATAACCAGGGATCTGAAGTGGTATTCTTGATATGGCACAACCAATAAGGCAGTGCCATAACAACTGGAATTTGGCAGTTGCTTCGTCCTTAGTCGGAAGTTTGTGTGAAAGTCACCTAGAAACCGATCTACCAATCGTTGACTAGGACGTTTCACTGCTGTGTAGCCAGCAAAACACAGGAGACCTTGCTTAATTAGGGGGAGAGAGTCTAGAATGTTACCGAAAGCCTGTCTACCGAATGCACAGAAAGAGGGAAGGTGAGCAGTAAGACACAAACTTGCTATCGTAAAAGAGGATCATGCGACAATAAAAGATTTCCTAGGTCGAGCTGCAAAGTGAAAATCACTCGGAGAATGGGAAGAGCCCAACCCTCCGGATGTATTGAGTCAAAGGCCAGAGGAATTCACGAATTGGATGGAGGTTCATTCAAGATTCTTCGAGGGAAACAACTAACTTGGAGACAAAGCAGAAATTCTAACACTACCAGGTCAACCGTGCATCTCTGACAAAGTGTTACAAGTGGGCAGGCAGCTAAAAGAAGGGACGAGTACAAAGTTTGAAGTATTGTCAATAAGCTCCCGAGGCAAATCCTGGGCAACAGCTATGGGAAAACCGCTTTGGAAGGCGATAGTGACAATTCAAGTACAAAGACTCAGCATAGCAACAATGTCCCGAACAGGTCATAAAACTTACATCAGACTTATCAAACGAAAAACTCAGTCACCTGTAAACAGGTAAGTATATTTTTGAGTTAACTCTGTAACCTCGGACACTGAGTGAGTTGACAATGTTGCAGTATATAGACACCTCGAATGCGCTTCTTTGTTGTTAATCTATTCTCCAAGCTTAGCAAGTGGGTTGTAAAAGCTTCACGACCAATCGTGTTGATACGGTTAGTGCATAGTTGGATGACGACGTCAGTTTGATTGGTGACGAAATATTTGCAAGCTAACTGCCAGGCTCAGCAAACGAACCAACCATTTAATTGGCTGGGCGTCTGGCTGACTAAGTCACTTGCTGGTAACTACTGCGTTTGTCATCTCATCCTTGCTGGTGTGGCTTGGCCACGTGTTGCGTATGCCAGTCGACCGACTACCTCGAAGGACTCTTTTCGCACAACCACGTGAAGGGTGGAAGAGAGCCAGAGGCGGTCAAACAGTGACCTGGCAGCGAAGTATGAAAGCCATTAGCAGCAAACTCAGCTGCGCTGGTCACTACCGTCTTCCTGGATGGGGACCCTGAGACGGGCCACATCAATGGCTAGAGACATTGTCAGATATGGCCCAGTCGCGCCCTCAATGGCGCTC